AATAGAGCAGACAGAATGTAACCTTGACAAAAATCATTCTTGGCTTGGAAAGTGCGCTAGCTCTGCAAGTGCTATCGTAACATCATATGCTTCGAGACCAGAGAATCTAATTTATACGCTGAGTGAGGGGGGCATTGCGTTTTTCGGTTTCACGGTTTTGGCAATTTTTCAGATTGGTTTTTCGATTTTTGTGACAAAAATTTCGGTTTTTTCGGTTTTGGTATTCATCGCGGTTTGCGGATTTTCAGTTTTTAGCATCTGGCTTTCGGTTTTCGTCAAAAATTCAATCGGGTTTTCGGATTGGGTATCCAATGTGGGTTTCGGTTTTTCCCATTCAGTAGGTTCTGTTTTCTCTTCGATCTGTACGGCAGTTGTGCGCCTCCGCTGATCTCTAGTAGCTGCGAAACCTCTTGTTTAGGGCTTTTATAACTTGGATGTGCAAATTTATCGGTTTTGACCATAATACATGCGGTTTTCGGTTTTGATCGATTTTTTTTTCTCGGTTTGGATGATTTTTTCCTACGGTTTTGCGGTTTCTAATATGCGCCAATGCTCCCCTCCTGAATAAATTAAGTTTTAATGCCCCGCAATTTCGTGCCGTTATGTCCGTAAAAGAAGTTTAACTTTTAAAAAACTACTATGAGATGTGAATGCACGCCTGTAAGTTTGTCTGATAAAGCATAACTAAAGTGTCACAGTCTCTCTAAACGTATGGAACCTATCATACTCGCAAGTTCGAAGTAATCAAAATGTTTGCGACAAAAGTATTAATATTTTATGATGGTCTAGAATGTATAGTAAGGTGAAGCCGGTTTGAAAACATAGCAAAACTGAAACGTATTTTCCACCACAGTGAGAAGTACCGAGCCTCCTTATTCGTCACACCCCGCTGCACACTTAACACGATTGTTGCCTTAGGTTGAACACAGGACTCTTTGAATCCCTAACGGACTGCTTGAAGACGAAGTAGATAGGGCCGGTTTGTAGAGAGCTATATTGCCTATTGAAGATAAGAAAAAAAGACTTAAAAAAAAAAAAACGAAAATAAATATTATTTTCCATTATCTAAAGGTGGTATGTTATCATAATTTCCTTTTCACTGTGAGACATTACAAAGTCAAATTGTTCTGATATTCTCCAAAGGACAGCTAGAATTTTTCAAACGTGGGGTCATGGTTATGCATCATCGGGGCACCTTATATGAATTGGTTTATACCACTACCATTGACCACTTTCAAAAATGGCTGCCGGAATAATATTCTTTTGTTTAAATTTAAATTAGCCTTTCTGGCCTCGCTTGAGATAATGTATTCTTTTGAATTTGTACTGGAGAACGAGGCCAGAAAGGCTAATTTAAATTTAAACAAAACAATATTAATCCAGCAGCCATTTATGAAAGTGGTCTATACCTTGTGTAATAGTGGGCTCCCATTGACTCAGTGAGAAGAACAGGAAAATGGAGTATGCCACACATATTCTTCTGATTCGTATGTTTTCACAACATTTAAATATTAAGTTTGTACATTGATAACTCAAGAGATTCTCTTAAAGGAAGAGGTCACCGGGAGTCCCCAGATCCCTCCCCTTAGCCAATCCTCTACAT